ATATATAACTAACCTTGCAGATATATACAACTAACATTGCAGAGATATACAACTATCATTGCAACATGATAAAACTAACCATGCAGAGATATACAACTAACGTTGCAACATGATAAAACTAACCTAGCAATAGAAGACAACTATCCTAGCAGCTACAGATAACTAACCTAGCAGTATAAGACAACTAACCTAGCAAAAAAAGAGAACTAACCTAGCACTAACAAACAACTAACCTAGCACCAACAGACAGCTAACATAGCACTAACAGACAACTAACATAGCACCAACAGACAACTAACCTAGCAACAACATACCACTAACATTGCAACATATGATAAAACTAACCTTACAGAGATATATAACTAACCTAGCAGCATCAGAAAAATAACAAAACAACACAGACAACTAACCTACTAACGATAGACAACAAACCTACCAACAATAAACAACAAACCTACCAACGATAAACAACTAACCTTGCAACTAAACATCAATAACCTTGCAACTCAGACACACAACCAATAAAAACCTGAAAATACGAATGATACACTTTATACATGGATTGAATTAAAAAAAAAAATAACACCGATAAAAAAATAACCAAAACATATTACTTTAAATCTATTAAGTGAAAAAAAACCTCAAACCGAAAAACAGATTACAAACAAAAACAAACGCAAAAAATACTCACCGATTAAGACGAGAATCTGCGAGAATAGAGACTTCGAACGATAAAACCGAAACAGAAATTGAGACGAAAAGTAAAATGAAATCGAAAGTGGAAGAGAATGGAATAGAAACAAGGAGTAAGAGCAAAAATGGAACAGAAACAAAGTGCAAGTGCGAAAGTAGAAGAGAAGATGAAGAAGCGCCCGCGAAAATTAATTAATATAATGAATTAATCCTGGAAGTTAGATTAGATGGGGAAAGAACGGACGAGATGCGGTCTCACGTCCTCACTTTAAAAAAGCGGATGTATTGAAATCAATCCTTATATATAATTGTAGGATATCCAACTAATGCGGATAACCTATTTTTCCTGCTCATTTTGTAAATTTTTTTTTAGTATGTTTCACCTATCATTTTATTTGTATTTTTGTAACTAATATTATAATATTTAATAAAATTGTAACTGTCATGTCATAAAAATTAATATAATTGCACTCTTTGTTAATTAGGTAAGTAAAATTATATTTTTTTTTATGTACACACTACAATATTGTAACTATATATATTCTTTCTTCTGATTTACATTTATTTTAACATTTAAATTTTAAATTACTCATGCTTATTTTAATCATTTTAACTAAGAACATATTTTAAGTCAATTATTTGAAGCGAAGTAATATATAGTTTTTTAATTTTTCTTGGGAAATAAATTTATAAAAATAAATCATAATCATATCAATTTATTTTGTCATTTCATTTGTAGAGATCTATTATTAATATCAACTTATGTGGTATATAAGATTTACGTTGTATATTTTATCTTTATTATTTTGTGCTTTTGTAATACTTTTATGTTTATTATTATAATATAATATTCGAATTATATAAAAATTGGATTACTCATTATATCATATAATAATAGTCATTAATATATGATAAATTGTATATTTATATTGTTTATTTTTTTTCTTGAAGTATATAACTCCAACGAAGAGACTTTAATGTAATCCCCCCTATATATAATTCCAGAATGCGCTGAGCCTATGTGGCTGCTTCTGGTGCTTCGGAATCCTACTTGGCGAAGAATCATGCTTCGTAATTAAGTTTGGACAAATAATATTGATATATTAATAATTAATAATCTAGGTTCGAATATTCCATAAATATTATTTAGCTAACTTATGTATTTAAATATCACTTGTACTAATATAACCCTTTAATTCTTTGTAATTTATATAGTGAGGCACTAAGTGACTAATATATCCTTGACTTTTGATTTGTTTCCTTCAATTAACTATTTAATTATAAATGTATTTTAAAAGTTGATAACTTTTGTATTTTTTATCGGTTTTACATATATAATATATCAAATTAATCATCTTTTCACGATCTTCGATTTGACATCCATATTGTATATATAAAATAAATAAATTATATTTATGTTTATAATAATAAAAACTAATAATATATTTATTAAAATAATTTCTCAATTGATATATTTATGTTTAATGTAGTTATATGTCGTAAGTTAAAAAAATTATTATAATATAACACAAATAAGTCACACAAATAAAAAGTGTCATACTAAATATATAATAATATATACATATTAATAAAAGTTATTTAAATTTTTAATTAATTTTTCTCAATAATTTTTTATTTTAAAGAAAAAAATTAGCAAGCACCCGTGTAATACACTACTAGTTTGATTATAAATCTGATACATACTATTAAGTAAAATTTTATTTTAATTATGATTTTTATATAAAATATTTATTTATATTTAATAACCTGTGCACATGCACACATGATTTATACTAGTTTGGATAAACACAAACAAAATTGAAGTTAAAATCTTTGGTCAGCTCATCTTCTGCAACAGGCATGGCTTCCATAGGAAATCTCCAGAAATTCTTGCTGAGTGATAATCCTCGTACTTGTTCTAAACCCTCGACCCGAACAGCGCAAAGTCGTGTATTTGAGCCATTGCCCGTCTCAAGAAGGTCCGTCATTCTCATCTCTGTTGTTCCCTTAAGCCTTGCTGCACTTCCTCAGACATTGCTAGCTAGAGAGAGGCGCAACAGGAAAATTATCCCACTTGAAGATTATCTCACCAGCCGTTAGTTTCTATTCTGTTTAGAAAAACAAACATATTTTGTTTCGAATTTCATCAAAATCCTCGAATTCTTGCCGATTGTCATTAGCTACTCTGTTTATGTTGATGTCGTGATTTTGAATTTCTGGAGGCTATGTTGCTTGAAGTTGTGATATGGTATTGCGATACAAACCAAAATTAGATAGTTTTCCTTCTTTTCATTTGTCCCTTTTTTGGGCTTGAATTTCAGGGGGAAAATGTCTGTACATTTGCTATCAGTTTTGCTTTTATGGTTGTTAGAATATCACTTGTGAGTTGTCCCACATCGTTCATACATGGAAAATAGACCTACCTTATAAGTCTAATGGACTACTCCTCCTTCCACCAATTGGTTTTGGGATGGAATCCCATTTGGGCTTCATATGGGCTTTCCCCGCTTATGGTGCGCTTCATGTTAGTGGGAACGCACCCGTTTTTTCCCCCAATTTCTTATAATGGTTTAGGTTAAGATAGTGACATTATAAGTTTCTTTCTTTTTGTTAAGAGTACATGGATATATATGTTATGGAATGTTCTGTGCTAGCTGCTTTCTTGATTCTTGATTTTTTCTTTGCAAATTACCCATTTACTAGGATTATAATGTATATTGGATAAGCTTTGGAGGTACTCTTGATTCTCTTTTCTTTCCTTTTTCAATCGAAATGACTGATGTTTTCGTTTGATATTTCTATCTAAACTGACCATTTGTGTGATTTTTTACCAATGGAACGCCCCCACAGGTTCATTTTATCTACGCAAATTTCTGAATGATGTTGTCAATTATAAAATGTTTTAACATTAAACTATGTCAACTTTTGATGAATGATAAGGTCCTTTTCTTTTAAAAGTGTCAAACACAGAAACTTCATATCTCGATTCCTTTAATAACTAGTTTCTGTTCTGAAGCAGCTGATGGGCTGAAATATTATGATCTTGTCGAAGGAAAGGGTCCAGTTGCTGAAAAAGGATCAACAGTGCAGGTCTGTTTACACTTCAAGAAACTCCTTTTGTATTCTTCCTTAAAACAAAGGAAAAGAAAGACAAGGTCTCTTTTTAGTTTTCTCCTTTGCATCTTAACTAGTTCCTTATGATGATACAAATTTAGTTGGACTGTTTGTTGAAACACAACAGGTTCATTTTGACTGTATATATCGAGGCATTACGGCTGTGTCAAGTCGGGAATCTAAGCTACTGGCTGGAAATAGAATCATTGCCCAGGTTAGCAAATTTTAGCTTGTTGCCATGAATAGTCCGCCGAAAACAAAATCACCCTAGTTCTTGAGTGTATTTTTACAGCGGCTCATTTATTTATAATGTGAATAAAAAAACCCTTAGTGTTAGTTTTTTGTTAATTGGCCCTAACTTTATATATGGTGGTCACTTACCGCATGTCAATCGCATAATAAATGAATAGAAATTTGATCAACCCCACTTTACTGACACTTTTTAAGTAGCCTTACGAGTTTCAAGTTGGAGCCGTGCCAGGAAAAGAGCGAAAGCGTGACTTCGTCGACAATCCAAATGGTTTATTCTCTGCACAGGCTGCACCAAAGCCTCCAAACGCTATGTACACAATAACTGAGGGGATGAAAGTTGGTGGAAAGGTAACTCTATTTGTTTTTTTTTTTCACTTGAAATGTTATTGTCTTTTGTGCCTTCCCAAAACCATTATTCCCCTTGTCTTGAGCTTCAATTCCGATTGCCGTTTATATGATTCTTTTTATTCTTATCTTTCTCCGGATTATGGGATGCAGAGGACAGTGATTATTCCTCCGGAGGCTGGTTATGGCCCGAAAGGAATGAATGAAATACCGGTAATGTGTTTACCGTGTTAACTGATGTATATTTTTTATATGTGTCGATTGATTGAAGAAGAATGTTTAGCATAAATGTCTGGGCCTAACATTGACTTCATTTATTTACTGTTGTACTGATGGTAAAAGAATGAATTTGAAGATGAAAAATAAGTAGAAAACAATGCGATGTATAGGTTATGAGCAAAGGCTGGAAGCTTTGTTGCACATGCACTCAGTGTCGTCTTTAATTCTTGAATTTATTTACACACTTCATCGAAGATGCAAGTGAAGTATTATTTTGCTATTCAGTTCCATATGAAGCTGATTCCTGAGGTAAATGCCTTTTGCTTTGCAGCCAGGGTCCGAATTTGAGCTAAACATAGAACTTTTGCAAGTGGTGCCTCCTAATGGAAAGTGATATACTTGAGAGAGCAAAAGGACACTTGTATTTTTTAGCCTTAGTTTTGTGCTTTAGAGCCTTTGTGTGTGCTTCATTTTTTCTTCACAAAGGAAGAGTGACCTTGTTCCTTGCTCAGAAAGGCGGCTACTCTCTACTACCTTTTTCCTTCTTCCTATTTGTTCAATGTGTATAGGTAGCGGACTTGTCTTTGTATATGAGAATCCTTTATCAAGTTCTATATTACTAGGTATGGTAGTTTATATGAGAATCCTTTATTTGGTTAACTTACGAGCTTAAAATGAGAGCAGATAGATAACTAGCTATATTGAGTCAATCGATGATGATGATTTTGTCCATGGAGTAATCAGATTCAAGGGAAAACAGCTCACACAAACAATAGTTAATAAAATAGTTAATAACTAACGTTTTTATCTAAATAGAAAAAATTATATGACACAAAATAAAATAATAAAATACAAAAATCTGGCTATATCATTTTGAATGAGAATTTATGTTTTAATCAAGTTCATGTTTGCAATTAATTTATTTATGCGAGCTGCTGTTCTTTTATTTTACATTGTAGATAATATGGTTCCGAGTATGAAATAATAAGATTATATTATCGGTTCCTTGTAAAAAAATATAAATGATCGTTCACAATCTAGACAAGAATTGAACTCCCTGTCGTGAAAAACTGTAATGTGATCTTGGAATTAGCTGATCTTAGACTAATGAATTACACTAGTACATCTCAGATGTATTGAACGACCCACATGAGGATAAGATTATTTTATAGTGACCAAGTAAATGATTTAGACCTTATTATTTGCTTTGTAGTCTTAGCCCATAAGACAAAGTACGGGCATGTGTAGTTGACACTTACTTATTTGATTTATCAAGGGGGAGACTTATTCTAGTAGGTCTACATACTCGATATTTTGGTAAGTAATGTCAGCTGCATGATGTGCCGTCAATAGGACTGCACACGAATCGAGCAGGTCGCGAGCGCTCCAGTCAAAGCTCGGCTCGAGCTCGAGTTTGATCGAACTCGAGTCGAGCTCAAGTCCATATTTTGCATTGTCGAGCGGCTTGAGAGATATGTTAAATACTAAAATACCTTTTCTATATATATGCATCATAAAATAGTATTATATGTACTTAATGCTACTATTACAAAATAGCTTGAAAAATTTCGAACCGAACTCGAATCGAGCTTAAGCATTTTGAACTCGGGCTGAGCTCGAGCTATTGTATATTTTTATCGAGTCGAGCTCGAGCAGCTAAAAAAGCTAATCATGCTCGTTAAGGCCAATGCTCGACTCAGCTGGCTCGTTTGCAACCCTAGCCGTCAATATTCTTTACAGTCACCGTTTCCGAGAGACTTGGTTAATGACGTCCCCGAAGTGAGCTGAAGAAGGATCGTTAT